TTTTTTTTCATTTTTTGTATTTTTTATTACTTGTACATATATTTTATACTTTCTTTTTATTTATATTTTCTTTCCTCTGTTTTATTTCTTGTTTTTTTTTTATCAATAAAAAAGAAACTACTCGACCAGAAATGAATTTAATTAACAATCGATACCAACTTCGTTGAAACCAATGATATGATGAATATTACTTTGACTTAACAATTACTACTGATCCATCTATAATACGTGATACATCAAATTTGAAGATCATGACCATGTTTATGCGTTATATCTATATATCTATATCTTTCATAACTCTATTATCTATTTCTGATAACATATGATTGTAAAATACCTAAAACACACGTACATATATATACACCTTGTTTTTCTAATCTTTCTAATCGCAATTCTTCAGTTTCATCGTCGGAATCCTACGGAAGGGGAAGGGGTGGGAAAAGAATAAAAAAAATTAATAAATAATTAAATAAATAAAAGAGAGAAGAGTTGATTCGATGCTAGTTTCGCTTTCAGTGGGCCATGACTCGTTGTATAAAATAAAATCTAAGGTGAGACGACAAATGATAGAATCGAGAAAAACGAAAAATCTTAGTTTCCTATTTATTCCCAATAATGAAGGAAAAAAATGAACTCTATCTTCCTGTACATTTAAACACAAATACACACACACACATATATATATACATATAAAGAAATTAAAAAATTAAATGAAATGAAAAGGCAAAAAAAGTAATAATAGAGACGAACAATGGAACGAGATAAAAGAGAATAAAATAATATTATGGGAAAAATTGTAGGGAAAGGGAAGAAAGAAAAAATATTGAACAACATTAAGAGAGAAAAAGAAATTAGAAGAGAAATCTCGGGGGTGGGATTGAAGGTTTATTTGGGGATCGTATATTTACGTGTAAATTAGGAGTAACCTTTTCGCACTTAAAAATAAATACATATTTTTGAAAGGAAGTGCAAATAATTTGTAGCCCTAAAGCGACAACAAACAAAACAGCGTGTATTAATTTTTTTCGTGTGAAACGAATCTTTTGCCATTACACATACATACAACACACGCACACACACATACACATCCACATATTCGTCGTACCAATCGCATTTATAATAGAAACAAATGTTATAAATCGTAGCAATGACAAAACGGAAATAAATAAAAAGAGAAAAAAAAAGAAAAAAAGAAATTTATATGAATGAAAAAGGTGGGGAAGGAAAGGTAGACGGTTAGAAGGAAGAATAAGTTGATAGAAGAAGAAGAGATACTTTGAAAGATAAGCAAAGTTTTCGAAAGATAGCTGCTGGTACTTAAACAAGAGAGAAAGAGAGATAATTAAACAAACAAATAAAAAATAATAAATTAAAATAAAATAAAATAAATATGAACCGCTTTACACAGAGAAGCCGTTAAACGATACCATTTAAGAGTTTTTGTAACGTATATTTGTTAAGAGACTACTATTTCGTCACTCACAAACACCCAAACAGTATTTGGATCGTTGTACGTCATTTTATTACCGAGTAAACAAACGGGCGATGTAGTGGGTAGTGGTGTGTAATAGCGTGAAAAATTTAAAAAAGAACAAAAAATAAGTAAAAATGACGACAAATAAAATTAGGTGGATGTATAAATGAAAAAGAAAGGAATAAGCAAATTAAAAATGAGGGGGAGAGAGAGAGAGAGAGAGAGAGAGAGAGAGAGAAAGAGAAAGAAAGAAGTAAAATAAAATTAAATAAAAGGGGGAATCGCAGTAATCCAAAAGACGGTCATGCACTGCAAACAAAAATATTAAAACGTACATTCATTAAGCTACGTATTGTCATTTAGCACAAATCTGTTAAAAAAGTAAATAAATTATTAGTAAGAGGTGCGAAGGGATTAAAAAGAAAAGGTACGTGTGCCGGCGAAAAAGTAAAACACAATTTGAGATAAGTGCGCTACAGATTTAAAAATACAAACAAAACCATTAAATAAATAAATAATAACAAAGAAAACCATATAGTACAGTCATGTGTGTGTGTCCGAAGCATATAATAAAATAGAAAAAAAGTTAACCCCGTATGCATACCTTTAATTAAGCGAATACTGTGAAAACACGGGTGTAAAGGGAACATTTTTGTTATAGGCACGCGCGTCATTATTATTATTATTATTATTATTATTATTATTATTATTATTATTATTATTATTATATTATTATTATTATTATATTATTATTATTATTATATATTATTATTATTATCATCATTATTATTATAATTATTTTAATTATTTCTACGTGTACGTATATATGTATATATATTGGAATATATATGTATGTATGCGTATATTTGTAACCATCTATATGTATATATATATTCCAATTAAACCACAAGATGATACGTTTTAAAGCAGTGTACAATTATGAAATGACATATGTATTTGCGATGAGGCAGGAGGGGAGTAAAATAATAATGGGCGTAACAGGCTACCTACCTACTACCCCACGTTTATTCGTGATAGATGTACGTAATCGATGTACGTATTTTCATATAGACATGTGCGTAATGAATAGATTCATATGTTCATATGTAAATATATACCCGATTGAGAAAATACGGAGTTATAAAATAATGAAATATTGCACAAATTGCTGCTTCTATGATATATCCGTTTTATTAAAGAGGACATCATTTAAAATAATGATTAAATATAGAAAATTATTTGAAAATTATTTGATCACGACTTCGGTAAACACATACACACGTACAGCGAGTATTATTAATCATATACCCGTTTGAAACTATGTATATATGTATATATATATATATGTATGTATATATGTATATATATATATATATACATCCGATGATGGTCCATTTCGAAATAGTTATATTCTCGAAAGAGAATATCAATTAATTAATTTTCTTAATTTATCCTTCGAAAAGAGAGTATTAAAAATAAAGAGAGAATGTTACGAAAGCACACAGTATATGCGCGCGCGCGCACACACCACACACACACACACATCATACATACACACACATCATACATACACACAACAGAGAATACACTCCATGGATGTGACTGTACAACGTGAAATAACGAAGAAACTTGACCGGCGGTACATACATATATCGAGGATCTGTTTTCAAACTTGAGTCTAGAAGGTTGCATATTGTACATAAACAAGACATATTTTCTATATAAGGGACGTCGCTCGGTAAAGCCGACGGCTCGAAAAATATTGCAATATTATGATAATTCTTTCAAGCGATAGGATAGCGTTTAATCGTTTTATGTAATGTAATGATAGAAGAGGGTCTGACAGAATAAAAATGGAAGTTCTGTATTTAAAAAACATCCTTTTCTGTGTTTGTTCATTTATATGTTCATGACGTTGTCTCCTTCGTAGAAAAACAAATTGACGAATTGTTTTTTATAAACCAAGGATATATAAATGCAACAGCTAAGTTTGTACGGTCGACTAAAATTCTATCGATAAAAAATAAATCGTCTAACAAGGGCTCCATCAAACCTTCGAAAAACCGTTTTTTTAAAACTCTACACAGTTGTAGGGATCTGTTAGAATTATACACTATACGAGTAATAAGACCCAATACTCAACCGTTTCCAATTCGTTTCCAATAAAACAAATTTCTGTTGTGTGCCTAATACGCGCCGGTGAGTTGAAAAGTTTTGAACTTAATGGTTTTCCACTCACTGTATTACGTTCAAAATTGTTCAACCCATCGGCGTGTATTATGCTTCAAATTTTTCGTTTTCTTGAAAACGATTGAGTATTGGGTCTTACTACTTGCACATTGCATAATCCACAGTGCATCCTAATGGATTTCAACAACTGTGTGGAGTTTTAAACAAATCAACGTTGACAAGGTTGTATGGAGCCCTAGTAACAAATTTATCTAATTAATATAGGCACCTATATGTATTATTATCCTTAAGAAGTAAATTATCTTTTGGATCTTAAACTATCGATTGTTATTTATAAAAATTTGTCTCACATAAGAAAGAAAGGAAGCTTTTTTAATGAGTTTCAACAGGTGAATGATCATAAAGTTATTAGTAATACAAAAGCATATTATATTTTACAAACAAGATAAATAGTTATTTTAGTGCAATTGTATTGTATATACATTTAAGTACTTTTTTCACCATCTATCATTTCATCTTGATCTTGATTTTGTTTTTCTATTTCCTGTAAAAAAAAAAGAGAGAAAAGAAGAAATGAAAATTATGTTTAATCAAACACAAGAAACAACTACAATATCAAATGATATAAATATACATTATTGAATAATTTATATCCTTAAGCCTTTGACTACAGTGCATTTAGAATCAAAACGTGACAATAATGCTTTATCCGCTATAGGCAACTAATTCACATCAGACACTTATAGACACTATTGACAGTTAAATTATATATAATATAGTTCTATAATTAATTATATTAATTATTTATATTATTAATTAATTATATTCCATAAATTATTATAGAACTATACAAATGTTATTTACCTTTTGAATAGCACTTGTTAAATTAAACTCATTATTAAATGTTTGGAAATATTCATTGATTTCTTGCGGAGCGCAAAAATGTTTCGTGTGTGTCGGTTGAATACCAATGTCTTGAGCAATGAATCTAAATTCAGGTTTATCGCTAATACAATTTTCTAATTCTTCATAAGTGAAAAGAGTTCCTTTTGTAGTAAATTCATTAACAGGACCAAAATCTACTATTCTTATATTCTTATTCTCACTGCGTATGACATCAAATGAATCTGTGTGTGTGAATAATTTTATAGAAAATTACTTAAAAAAAGGAAAAAGAAAAAAAGAACAAATGCATTATATAAAATCTAAATGATTATAAAATATATGTACATCACTTATGCATGTCAGAAAAAGAAACATATATTAATAGGCGCATTAACTCACAGCTAATCAATGAAAAATTTCCTTTAATCTTTTCTGTGAATAACTTTTCAATATCAGCTTTTATATTGTACTTTTCTGACTCATTATAGGTATAATATTGCGACATATCTCTCTGGCTAATTCCTGTGAGTATTAAAACTAGTTATATATTTAAATAGTGCTCAAAAACAATGAAACAAGCACATAACTTAAGCAATAATATTTACCAACAAGTTCATCATCTATGACGAAACATCGATATTCTGCGCAAGGATTTATATCCCGCCATTGTTTCAATACCAAGCATGGTCTAGGATAATCTTCTCTATCTGACCAACGTTTAAGAACGCTTAAATCATTTGCTATTCTGTCTGAACTCTTCAGTAGTAAATATACTTCTTCTAAAGTCCTACACTGTAGACTCTTTGTTGGTGCTACCCATGTTGCATCCTTAGAAAAATTATATGATACAACTTAAAGAATGAATTTGCATATTATCTATATTGAAAAACAATATAATAGTGAAATGTAATAAAAATTAATAATACGATATTCTTCTTACTAAAGGTGAGCTCCAGTTACTTTTAATAAATATAGACCCATATTCATTAATTACATCTTGTATGCTTTTGCTAAATTTTGGAAAGGATGGCTGATACTCCGAATCCTATAAATGACAATCTAAATATTTATTATACTTAGAAAAAAAATTAAATAACAAGAAAATATATAAATACCTTATCATTTTGTAAAGAAGAATCATTCCATTCATTATCGGACGAGCTATGTTTTATAGCTTCCAAAGGTAATAAAAATATGTCGTACTGTAAGTATTTCAAAACATCATCAGGAATTGGTATAACAGTAGCTACTAATGAGCAATTTTTAAATTGCTTATACCAGGAGCAGAATGAGAATTCTGGTTGAAAATTATTAATCATATTTTATAATAACAAAGAATTGTCAAACTATAAAATTAATCGCGGTCAATTATTAATAAAATACACAATATTTATTATACTATAATATTAATTAAAGAATAAATTGAATTTTTAATTAGATTGTTTTCATCAAGTTGTCTTTATAACCTTAATACGTAGCACAATGCGAAATAAACATGACGTTAATCGTAAATATTAAAGTGCCAACATAACATGTAAAAATACAATAAAAGGACTGTTTCGTTGATTATTAATCAATTACTTCCAAGTTAAAAATATTAGAAGTAATTTCAATCTTGTTAAGTTTCTTATCATTATTTGCTAGAAATTGAGATGTTTTAAAAAACTAGATATTATGTTGAACAACAAATTATTAAGACTATTTTTAAGTTTTCGTTCGAAGCGTACGTAACTACAGCGAACAATTCGGACAAAATATGTGAACTATGCAACGAAGAATAATGCTCTTTTGAACCATGTACTTATCGTCGATACGACGTATAAGTTTACGTGCTTTATATCCCTCTAACAAGTCTCCTTTTTTATCTACCCAGTTTCATTTTTGTTACTACCGGGACCACCAGTAGGCGATAGTGGGTAGTTACCGCGATAACGATACAAAAAATACTATCAAAGAATATAAATAATATTGTATATTTTTGATTTTTAGTGGATAAGATATAAGTGCCTTCAGAAATGCATTTATACGTATATTTTAAAATGAAGCAATTTAAGACACTCAAATAAAAAAGAATCCAGAAGATTTGATGATAAATCCAATGATGATCGTCTGTAAAAAAAAGAAAAATATATTAATCATACAATCAAGTGATACAATAGCCTGACATATAAATCGTCCAATTCGCTGATGCACTTTTTGCAAATTTCTACTTATTTACCGTGGCAATAAAATTAAATTTAAACACGTGATTTTACATTTACATAAAATAAAAATAAAGAAATAGGAAAAGTAAAAATACTAAGTTACTGAAAAAAATAATATCTATTAATTATTGTGAAATACTTTTAAATTGCATTATATAGAAAGAAAAATTGTAAATTTAATAAAATACGATTACAATAGGTTTTCTTGTCTCATCGGTATAAACGAAAATAAGAAACTCATCTATAGTTGATATTACTTAAGAAAAACGTGAAGGCACACACATGCTTATCCACTAAACATATTTGATAGTATTTTTTGTACCGTTATCGCGGTAACTACCCACTATCGCCCACTGGTGGTCCCGGTAGTAACAAAAATGAAACTGAGTAGATAAAAAAGGAGACTTGTGAGCTTCTATGTATTTCTTTATTCTTTGATAATAATAAGAACACATTTGAAAAACAAAAAGAATCTCAATCGTAAAACTATAATATATTTTGAAAAAAAAGGATTAACTATCCATTATGACTACCTACACTTCTTCCCTAAAATCTTCGGAAGAACTCGGGCTATTTCGTAATTGTTCGTAATAATTACCTGAAACAAATACAAGCATCTTATGGTTTATCGGAAAACTATATAGTTATTTATTTTGCATTAGAAATTTATTGTTAAAAAATAAGTCTCTAGACTAGAATAAATGAAATTATTGTTTTCCGTTAATAATGGTATTATTTTTATAAAATAATATAAAATAAAATAAAATAAAATGGGTAAATTCAAATGAAATATATTAGGTGAAGGTAATCTCAGTTGGTAGCCAATGCTTCTAGTGTGAAACTCTTTTATTACATTTTATAATATAAAAATTAGTAGTTTTAATTTATTACTTTTTGCAATTGGATTTTGTTTTAATTATAGTTTTTGACCGTTAATACAAAATGGACCAAGATGTTATAAGATTGATATATTTTATAATTTTTACTACATTTTTAAACAATTTAGGATTATGTTTACAACATTCTAAATATACCAAATGTAAGTTATTATATATAGTGATAAATTTAACCTAGTAAAATTAATTATATACTTCGACATTTATAGATGATATAAAAAATGAGAAAGATTGTCATATTGGATCAAATAAACATAATAAAGATTTAGCAGTCTTAATTAATATTACATTTGATCATCAATCAAATGCTGATACATATTGTAAATTTGTTATTAAAACTAACAAAGAAGATGGTTTGTTTGGTGTGATACAAAAAATGACATTCAGGCGTAATAAGACACAGTGTTTAGATTACGTACAGGTGAACAAATATGTACAAAAAATTCATCCGATTGATTCGTTAGTTTAAATATATATTTTTGTATATATTTCTAGTTCAAAAGGAGCGACTTGCAAAAGACACCAAAATTTTGTGGAAATTATGATCGCAGCACAACTAAATATTATCCAGTCCCTGAACAAGAAAATAGTACTTATGAATTTGCATCATTTTTTTCTGGAAGCACTTATGCAGAATTTGATACTAAAGGCATGTTAGAAACTACGGTATTTATTTCCAAAGAGAAACACTCGCTTACAGAAGAAATTCTTTCTCTCACCCTTGTTTATACGCCATATAAAAGTAAGTTTTAAATATATCAGATGCATTAAGTATGACAATATACTGTTAGAGTATACGAATAAATTAAATATATATTTTTTCACAATTTCATTTATAGGATGCAAGGAAAATTTAAATACTAATTATACAAAAATAAAGTTTGAATCATGTATTTTGCATAATTACTTTTGCGATGGATATCAAAATTGCGTACCAAATATTTGTCAAGACGAAGTCAATTGTACAACTAGTACTGATGTCTTCACCCACAGCACTGGAACAAAAATAACAATGGGTGCTGTGACGACACTAGTTGTATGTACAATTATTTTTGGTGTGTGCGTATGGGCATGTAAAAAAAAAGATATGATCTTTTGGTCTTTGGATTGTTCTGGTCCAAGTGCACGCTCATCGGATAGATTAGCGAGATCAGGTGTACAAGAGTCTGAAAGTACTAGTAACCGTCAAGTTCCAACAGCTCCAATGTTAGAAGTTGTTGTACCACCTCCTGTCATAGATAAAGATCTTCCACCTAGCTATGATTCCTTATTTCCAGAACAGAATAATTCTACTGTGCAGCAAGTGTAAGTTATTGATGATAATCCTTTTTTGTATCAAATTTTTACAGTCTATTACCTAATGTTTTAATTAGGTGATGCTGTTTTTTTTAACTATGTATATTTACAAGTATATAGGGAAATAAAACCAGGAATAAGTCTTGTAGAATCAAAGGTTAAGTCTTAGGATTAAAATTAGTCATAAATAATGGAGTACAAATCTCTGCCTAATTCGGTTCATTTTTTTTTCTATATGAGTATCAAAGTTCATAACTTTATAATGCATTTTTTTTTTTATAACAATCAACTTTTACAACATATTTCTGATATAGTGTATACACATGATTGTATTCATAACTTTTATTTTTTATTAAGTAACAAGTATGCTTTGTATTTTATTAAGAAGGTGCATTTTTTAAACAGTTTCAATTATAGTGATTAATAAGATAGTTAATATGAAAATCAGTTTTATACTTTATATTTTGATAAGTTATAGAATTCATAAAATATAATAAAGTATTATTTCTTTTAAACAATTTTGTATAAAAATCTTGAAACATATAATCTTTAGATATGATAAAACTTACATTAATTTAAATAACTTAAGAAAAAACATTTATATTGACATCTGTAATATATAAATAATTCTAAGATATTTTTTTACTTTTGAGCGAGCCATGACATTTGTCTCAATATTGTATTAATTATTATATCAGTATTTAATACAAATATTACACCATAAATACAGTTTATTTCAATGTTATCGTATTATTTTACAATTATTTATTTTGCGATCAACGATTAATAAAAGTATTGATAGAATAAGCGTTACAAAAATATAATCTGTATCGGTAATATAGGCCTTAATATGCAAACGTGTATATGCGTATGCGTGTAAACAATTTGCAATGTATTTGTATAATGAAATTTTGTAAATATATATCCTTATATATAAGGTAGAATGACAGAAGTACTGAACATTTAGAGAAACAATTTACAATATTATGTTTTACGTATTTTGTTTATTATCAGAAAAATAATTAATAAAAGTTCTTCTTGTACAAAAATGTTTGTTATTATATATTATTATAGATTATCTTTTCTTTTTCTTCTTTTCTATCATTTCAATGATGCCAGTAAGACAGAATTATCTTCTTTATCAATACTATTGTGTTCCATTAACCATAAACAAAGATTAATAAGAGAATCCATCTCAGCAGTACCTGATCCCAACTGATGATTGTCCTCATATACAAGCATTCTGATAATTTCAAAACATAAATTATATCCAATATATTCTATAGGCTTAGCAAAAAAATGTATATTTTCAAGTCACTGTTCTGACATGAGATCCGAAACTTTCCATGAATATCTATATATATTATTATAGCAGAGTCCTGATATATGATAATTTGACTATTTGACTTAATTATATTTACTTACTTTGTTTTGACTTTATTAGCTTTAAGATGATTATACCACAGTTTTCCTTGCGAAGATGGAACTCTTAGATCATTTGTGCCAATACATATAAGAGTAGGAGCCTTAACTCTATCGACAAGAATAATAGGTGAAGAATTATACATTTTTACAAACATTTCCACGACTCCTACAGTTGACGGTACAACTGGACCATACATATTTATCACAGCTTTGCACCTAAATAAAGATTTTTATAGTATGAAAATAATAAAATATATATATATGTATATATTTACATATATATGTATATATATACATATATATGCAACGCCATATTAAATATTACGTTCAATAATACTGCATTTCAGTCTACCATTAATTATATATTATGGACTTTATAATATTTTAGTTAACAATTAAGCTTACACATTATGCTGATATGCAAGTATCTCTTCCACAGTTAAAGTATTGCGACTGAAATACAAATTGGACGATTAACAATAAATAATATTGATAATGGAATAATATTTTTACCAGTCTGGGATATCCGAAATAGTGTACATAGCAGCAATGTCAACTACTGGATTTCTAGCAACTGCGACTTTATATAGCTCCTGAAATATGTGTGTGTGTCTTTATAATAATTATTATATTATATATATTAAATATTATTTAAGAAAGGATTTTCGTCTAGAGACTTGACTTTTAGGCTATTTTCGTAAAAATTGTAAAACTGCTTATCAAGGTTTCTCCTATATATTAATACAAACAAGTTACTTTCATCATTTTTTTCATTGAAATATCTCAATAAAAAAGTCGTATATAACACAGTTTGCGTGAGACTTAAAAAAAAGGCATTGAACAATGTCAATTCTGAACATCTTGACGAAAATCCCCCTTCCCCCCATTAATCTATGAACATAATATTATATCATTATATTACATATTTTACTGTTATAAATGTTTAATAATTTTGTTTCTTACTGGATATTGAGCAGTTAAATGTGCTACTAAAAATCCACCATGAGAACCACCACAAACACCCACATGTGAAGGACTGAGCCATGGGTACTTATTTAAAGCTTCTTTAGTGGCAGTAACACAATCTTTTACATCTACATCGCCAACTTTTCCTTGAAGAAATTCTACATTTTTCGCACCCATTCCAGTAGAGCCACGAAAATTAACTTGTAACACTGCCATACCTTAATTTTGTATGTGATATTAATATAAAATACTAAAAAAGAAGGTAAATATAAAAGGAAAGCATGGTGCTTACCCATGAGTGCAAGCAAAGAATAATCAAAGGAGAAAGCATTAACAAAATTAGAATGTGGACCTCCATGTGGTACTACTATTAACGGTATTGATTTATCTTTTCCACCTTTTGGCCCAAAATACGTAAAATTAAATGTTGCTGTAAAAATATTTTTAAAGATTTTATAATTTAAGGGAGAAACTAATAATACATACTTAAATATAATTATGTAAATCATATACTTGCTTGTATGTACAATTATAATACTTACTAATATCATCATCATTATCATACTCATAAATTGTATGTTCATACATAAGTGATTCGAAGCCATCGATCTTTTGCGAATCAGTGATATTGACTCTAGTAATATTTCCATTCTTCAACTGTGTGGGATCAAGACGTCCTACATAAAGCGTCGATGGTTTTAAAAGAGACGTTTGTACAAATGCGATTATATCATCTTTTACATCTAAGATGGTGAGAGAACTTTCGTCATTTTGTATCTCAATCATATTTTTATTTTCTGTACAAAACATATCTAATTAGTGTTATCAAACGAGTAAATACATTCTCTTAGGATATACAGGGTGTTTCAAAATTTAAGTATAACTTCAAGGGTGGTTTTATTGTGCTAAAATAAGAAATAAATTCATATCCTCGATATCACAATTTGTGTTCGAATTACAACAATTTTTGTATTATACATGTTGTTACATGAATTTTATAGAAACTATTCAAAGTGGCTACTTTTAGCTTCAATGGAAACTTCCAAACATCTTATCATATATCTTTTTACTCGTTTAAAAATTTCACGTGTTGTTTAAATTTGCTGAAGATTGTTATGAATACGGTGACGCACATGAGATAAAAAGCTTACTTGTATAAAGAGTCGAAGCAAACAGTTAGTAAAGTTATATGAATTATTAGAAAATAAAAACAGCTATAATTCGGAAATAATATCAGGCATATAATTATACAAATTTTTGTAGTTATTTTAGAAAGCGTACTAAAAACACTCCTGAAGTTATGCCCATATATATTGAAACATGTATATTAATAAATATGGTATCTCTTACCCATATCAATTACATAAGATCGTATATTTGTTCGCTGAGCAGTACTGTAAAATAAATATCGACCATCTTTGCTCCAACAACGTTGTGGTAATCGACCATATATCCCATAAAATAATTTTTCATTGTGAATAGTTTTACCAGAGTCAATAATATCAGTAATTATAATAGGCTTAAATAAAAAAGAAAAAATACATTTTATAAAAAAAGCATGTCTATGTTTTATAAAAAAATAAAAGATATGACTTACTTCCTTTTGAGTACATTCAAGATCGAGATACATAAGCCTATGAGCATTATGATGCGGTCCACTAGCACTTCTTTCTAACCAGACAAGATATTTTCCATCTGGACTAACTTTAGGTACTCGTACTGCACACCCATCTTTAGATAATAGACCTGAATAATTCAATATACTTAAATGTCTTTTACATAATTATAATTATTTTGAAGATTGTGAAAACATAGAATTCTTACGAAATTCCACGTTATTCAAAGAAAAAATCCAGGATTTTCTATTCGTGCACGCAACAAGCCCTAAATGTCTTGGTTCGTGTGTCCAAACAACACCGATTATACTTTCAGAATCTTTCATCCACAGCAATTGTCCTGGAGAATATTGATCTGGTATTTCTGATAGTGTTGTTATTGAGTCTGTCTTTATATCAAGTACTACAGCAACAGGATAGTGTTTGTTTACTAGTTGTTCTCCCCAATCAGGTTTATAAATATACTCATTACCCTAACAAAATGATGTTGTTGAAAATAATATCAATAGTTTGGAAATAATTCGAAATACATTGACGTGTCTTACAGGTATTATTTCTTCTTTCTCCTTTTTTTCTTTATTTTTCTTATCCAAAGACTTTTGTTTATAAAATGCTTCAGATTTTGGTAACTTTTTCTCTGCAATGTATAATAATTTTGTTCTGTCCGGAGACCACTCGAAAGTACTAAATTCATCTGTAATAATTATACAACAAATGATAAACCAAAAGTTTTTACAGTAAAGATTAAAATTCTAACAAAAACTTAAAAATATTTTCTCTTACTCTCTACATAAATATCACCGTGCACATCTAACGCTGCTAAATCATAGTTTTTAATCATATTTTGTTTGTTCCAAATTTCAATATACTGTTTTGTTTTATTATCAACGGTACTACTTCGTAATATAGCTTTAAATAGTCCATCTTCTGAAATAGCTGACAAAAGTCTTTAAAGAAACAACAAAAATTACTTTATTATAACTTTGTTATAGTGTAAAAAAACAATTCTACTATTAATTACTTAGTAAATTAATAAGTAAATATTATAGTAAAGATATGATACGTACTCTTGTGTAATATCAATTGGAAAACTTTCCACTGCAGGTTGAAAATCTTTATTTAGAAAATGATTTTGTATAAAACGTTGATTAGTTTGTTTTTCTAGATTCTTTTGATTCCATACACTTTGTACAAATATATTTTTACTTGTAACATTAATAATTTTAGCTGAATTCAGAGTAGTATTTTTTGATAATAATTTGTAAGTATTTACAACCTTTTCTAACTGTAAAATTTAAATACATTCATTTGAGTAGATATACAAAGGATGCGAAAAAATAAACAAAAGAGTTAAATTATTTAAATAAATTACTATAGTGTAATATATATTTCACAATCAAGGAATAATTCAAATTAAAGTAACATTTGAAAAAGAAAAATTCTTACTCGATTAGACACTGCCATTGTATCTTCGTTGACTTGGAGATGAATAACTATTAAGAACAGGTTAAAAACATTATTTTAAACAGATAGATAAACAATAGTTATAAATAACATTCACGATAACAAAAAGATAAAGTCACCGCAACAATTTATGGTATGTATTTAAAGCAGGCAGATAGATAGATAGATATATATATATATATATATATAGAGAGAGAGAGAGAGAGAGAGAGA